AGTGGGACACGCACAGGGTTCCCCCTGCCACAGCATTAGGCAGCCCTGGCCACCCTAGAGCTGGGGCTGTGTGCTTCAGGAGAAGGTAACAGGAGTAATGGCAACTTACAAGCAATGTTAAATTAGCAGCCTCAAAGGAGAGGTTGGTGCTAATCACTGAGGGAAAGGGGCTGTTATTCCCCTCGCCAGCCTTGGCTGATGCCACAGCAGTCGGGAGGCCGCTCTCACCTACAGCATCCCACCATGGCTCTCACAGGGTAAATGCTTGTTTTCTAACGAGGTCCTGTGGGGATGTGTCACACTGCAAACAGGGCCCTTGCACAACATCCTCTAAGTCAGCATTCATCTCACTCCGCTAGATCTCAGCATGGTTTTCTGTTCAGAAGATAATTCTTTGGCCATGTAGTCTCTGCCCAGTGCTGTAAATTGACACCTGAAGGACATCTCTGTGGGCACTATCCCTGCACACTGGCAGTGAAGTGACTTTCCTCTCTCCCAGGTATTTATCTCATTTCAGATTTCCACACAAATGGACAAGAAATGAAGAAGTGCAGACTGAACTCAATCCCCTCCACAGAGCACACAGCGTTTCAGAGCTGTGTGATCTGGGGAAGGTGACACACGGGTTGAGCACTCAGAGCAAAGTCACCCCCAGTCAAACCCACCTCGGCTCAGCTGACACCTTTTTATCAGCACTGTGCCGGAGAGCTGGTACATCATGCACAAAGCCTTGGAAAGAGCCACAGGAACCTCAGGTAGAGGGAACTTGGAGGGTCAGCTGCTCTTTTGAAGGATCATTACAAGGGGTGGTGAAAAGGCTTGGACACTGAGCTGGGAGCTTGTTGACTGGATACATTACAAATGAACACTTTCAGGTGCTTCCTTTTATGCCTCTTGGACAAGACTGCAGCTCTGAGAACTCCTTAGGAATGGGGCTTACTGTGTTAGACTGTTCAGTCTGCCAGAGCCTGCTAAAATGAACAAGCTGTGTCTCGACATGAAGTATTGGACCTGCTGCACCACACACCTATATTCAGGGTCATTGTTCAGATTCAGGACTGTGTGTAAGAGTTTTTCAGTTCCTTGGCCAGAACAGGAGAGGGGCTGTGTACCCCTCAGTTCCCTGTGCAGTTTACCCTCTAGAGCTCCCACACAAGCACCAACACACTGGAGGTGAAGGCTTGTACTGTGGCATGTTCTTGAGTTCATGTAAAATTTCTTCAGTGCAAAGAAATCTCAGATGTTAAGGGAATGGAGAAAAGGATCAGGAATGTGGCTCTGCATAGGTAACAGCTCAAGAAGTCTTTGTGCTTCAGAATGGTCACAAGTCCCTTTTCTGAGATATCACTGGGAAAAGTTTGTTGAGCTCAGAGGTGGTAGCAAGATTAGCAGCTGTAAGTTCGCTTTGCTCCTGTATTTATGGTTCAGTTGATCCATCAGTCCTGTCTGGACTTCAAAGATCTTCTCACGTGCCTCCTGGAAATGTTCCTTCCTCAAGTTTTCCTCCAGCGCAGTGTGGGCACTGCACAGCCCACACACCCAAAGAGGTGTTTTCATCTGGTCATGTTATATGGTATTTGACTGCATTATTCCTGGCTCTAGGCTAGTGCTTCTAGCACTCTGTTTTCATTTGGCTCCCTCACCTCAAAGGCTGTTTCTCTGGCCTTTCTTTATCAGCTTTTCGGAAACAGGACCGACACAGAAAAACACAGTAAGATTTGCAGTTTATTTTAATCATTTAGAAAAGGTCACAGACTTTCTACCTGTTTTTTAAACATTCCTCCCATTTTGTGTATCCCAGCTTCATTTTATTCTAGAAAGCACAGACTCTCACCTATTTCCAAAGAGCTCCTGGCAAGAATTGAAGAAATTGAATCAGAACAGCACATTAAACTGGTGACTCTCCATATTCAAGTGAAAGGGAGTGGACACCAAACAGACCTTGCATTGAGACAAGGCAAAACTCTTGCACAGCTCATTGGGCTTTGGCAGGGAGCTCTTGGGTCTTCCAGTCTATAGGAGCTGGAACCAGCTAAGATCAAATGACACAAATGAACAAAATGGGGGAGGTGGAGGGATGGCAAAAGGCAAAGCACAAGGACAAGATGCTTTAGCTTCATGGTTTAGGTTGAAAAAGCCAGCAAGGCAGATTTGTGTACAATTCTGTTGTCATCCACCGAGCTAATCTGGGGATGCTTTGTCCTGCGTGCACAGAAGGGCCCAAAATGCCACCAGTCACTGCACACAGCTTCATCGGAACTCAGGTGGGCTTGGAGCAGACAGGGAACGTTATGGGAAAAACAGTTTAAAATCTCCTCCTGTCACCATGACCATGCTGGAGCAAGGTGTGTTTATCCTTTGGGACACTGGCAGCGGAGCAGCACCAGACAATGAGTTCAGAATGTAGTTCCAACTTGGTTTTGATGGCAGCTGTCCTTGCAAGAGCACACAGTGAGTGATGTTTAAAGAACTTTTGCCTTATTAATTAAGCAGAAAATTGGCTCAAGACTCTCTTACATGGAGGTCTTGTGCTACAAGTATCATGGAGAAGAAAAAAAGCATTTTATGTGCTCTGGCTCATGCAGTGCTTTTGCACACACAGCAGCTCTATCAAGATTCTGGAGGGAGATGTGTATCAAGAAAGGCTCTGCTACCAAGCCCAGTTTGAGGTTTGCCAAGATTAGCACTCTGTGAATTAGTCTCAGATTATTTCTCTGCTTCTACTTGCACAGCTGTGTGAGGTGTTTATTCTGCTGGCAGGAAGTTTGCTTTCAGCAAGAATGGGAAAAGGTCAGGAATCTGGTTAGGCAAAGCACAAATGTGCCAACAGGAGAGTGCAGCAGGGCTGGGCAGTTTGGCTGAGGCAGCTTGGCTGAGGCAGCGAGGGAGGACCGCTGTTATTCCAGTGGTGCAGCAGCCCAGATGGTGACTGCGGTAAGCTGCGGTTACAGAGGAAATAGTGGTTGACAGTACAACATAAACAGACACAATGAACGCCAGCTTGTAATGTCTGTTCCTAAAGCTGCTAAAGCAGCCATACAGTCTTGCCTTAAGATGACTGACATCTCACACCCAGCATTCTATGCAGCCACCTCTGTGGATGGTGTAACCAGCCAGCAGAGACAAAGAGACTTCCACCTGGAAGCTTAACATGGAGGAAGACAAACCCCAATTGTGCAAGCTGGAACCCTCATGGCTCATACCTGGAAATGGAAGGTCACAGCGACAGGAGGACAGGAAGGTACAAAGGGACAAACAAAGGCGAGAGGCTGCCCAGGTGTGGAAGATGACTCAGTGGATGCTTCCTTCCCAATCCTGATCACAAATCCAGCTACAACACGTGGCAAGTGTGACCATCAACTTCACTGGAGAATCTAACTTGACAGAAGAGTAACTCAGCTCCTATACTGGGCACCCTGCTCACCCTGGGACTGTCCAGCACAGCTTCCTCTGCCACCAGTGCTGGACCAGCCTCAGCAGCACTCATCAGTGGAGAGATACTGGCTTCGATGGCATCTGTTGGGGTTACAAAGCTGTTCTGGGGCAAGGACAGAGCACTTGGTATGGTTTGCAGAGGGGGACTGTGCTTGGCAACAGCTTCACCTAGAAAAGCAGCTGTGCAGGCTGTTGTTTGTACTGCAAGAGTCTGTGGTTATGCACCTTTCTTTACAGAACCAACCCCATCATTCCCAGAAGCTGGAGGCCTCACTTGGATACCTGCACAGCCCCCTGCTCTGAGATGCTGTGTCCCTTTGCTCCCGTGGGTGACACAGCAGCCTCTGGTGGCTCAAGGACCCTTGGCAGGGTCCTCATCAAAGGCCAGGTCCTGACCTGCCTCTTTAAAAGAGCAAAAATCTTACAGCTGAGTGTGTGGCAAAGTGAAAGCCATTTTCTACAATGATTTTTCTTGTCTCAGACGGATCTGTTCTGCCATAGCCTCAGTAAACCTTTGCCCTTTCTATAGTGCTGTGGCCTGGAAAACTCAAAACAGGAATGGAAAAGGCCATTCTGACTGGCCCCAGTTCCCAGCAGACTGAATCACCACCTCTGCCCTCAAGCAGATCCAGTCGTGTTGGAGCATGAAAGAAAAGCCTGTAACGGTCAAGAGGAGAAAGCTCACTGCAGCCTGAGATGTAGTTTTCTTCCCTTCAGAGTTGCAGGAGGGCTGTGACTGAAATGCGTTCTGTGGAATGGTGTTTCTGTATGATTTTTTTAGAAGAAATGCTAAACTACTACCATAAGTCTGCACAAAACAATCCATTTTACTTAGAGCATAATCCCCTAATTCAGGCTGTCCTGCTTTAAGAACTGGTGCTTGAAATGCTCCAGCAGTTCAGGTGCAAACTTATCAGCGGTCAAGTTCTTGGCATTCAAGATCCCTTCATGTGCTTCCTGGAAGAGCTGCTTCCCCACTGCCTCTTCCACCCGCCTACGCCACGCTGATAGCTTTGGCCTCTCCTCAAAGAGGTCGTAGCCAGCACCTACAGGCTGCAGAGAGACAGCAAGAGAACCCAGGAGTGAGTCAAACAACCACTGACAGGAGTGGGACCACAATGAAGCACAGATGCTTTTGGCTCAAGGCAGTAGATGCTTGTCACATCGGATGGAGCTCAGCTCTGGTTCTTAGCTCATAGGAAACAAGTGGTGTCAACCCAGCAGCTGCTGTTCCCTGGGACATGCAGTGAAAGCTAACCCAGGAACTGCCTAATGTGGAACAGAGGTCAACATGTCACTTTCAAACACCTGTAGTTCTCCTTGTTAGTTTATGATTTATCTTTCTGAGGAATTTTGTCCATACTACTACAGGGAGAACTGTCCTGTCAAAGCAGGTGTTCCCTGGCAAATTATGGTCAAAGTTAAAAAGGAAGAAGACTTAACTCCACTAAAGAGTTAACTGCAGAGAGAAAGATCTGCCAATAAAGAGGTGGTGGTACCTGGCCTGCTCACATCCCATTGTACACAACCAGCAGTGCTGGGTTTGGTGCTCACCTGCATGAGCTCCACCAGTGCTATGAGGTCCGCCAGGGAGATCTCACTGCCTGCGATGAAGGGCTTGTCCTGCAAGAACTTCTCCTCAAACTGCTTCAGGACAACATTCAGCTCTTCAATGACACCTTCCAGTTTCTCTGGAGGAAGTGGCTTGCCTGTGAGGAGAGGCAGCAGCACCTGGCAGGGAGGAGAAACAAGCTCCTTTTCACATGTATATCTACAAACTTCATCCACAGATTCTCGCTGCCACTTCTGAGGACCCCTCACCAGCCATGCACTAGAACAACTGGTACCACTGATCTCCTCTGGCAGATTAACATTAATGTCTGTCATTACTTCCTGGCTGTTCTTGTCTCCTCCCTAGAAAGTCTGAAATTTCAACCACGAGAGTCTCCTCTCAAGGGAAGGCTGCATCATCTGCAAGCAACTGCATCTTGTTTTCCAATGTGAGTTTTGTTCTTTCCATGATGCTGGGCAGCAGACAGTGAGCTGTGCCTGGGGACAGCTGCTCACCCAGCACAGGTTTGTTCTGCACCTCACAGAGCTGTGGCTGCACCAAGAAGGATTTGGGCCACTTCAGTTAGGCTCGGCAAAGCAGCCAAGTCAGTTCAAGATGTTTTGTTCCTGTCACCTGGCTTGTATGTTTGCTCCGAAGGGCCCTGCACACAGAAGGGCCATTGCACTCACAGCTCTTAGTTTTTGGTATATAATATCTTACCTTTGTTAAGAACACCTTGCTCCCCTTCCCACGGATGTTGATGTGCTGCCATGACAGGTACTCATCAACCCTAGCCCTTTTCTGCAGGTCGGATGGGTACCAGTGATCAGGAGTCTTGAATTTCCGGACCATGTACAGGAGGATTGCAATGCTGCCCAGTGAGCAAGACATAGCCATGAGCTGATAATCCAAGATTAAAACACCTTGTCCTTTCTTCTCCCCCAGGTTGTGTGCTGCTGGACCAGCAGCAATACAAACCTGATCTGAGTCAGGTAGAAGTGCAGGACACACAAATGTTAGTAAGGCACAGCACACAAGTTTGTGCTGACTTGACCAGCGAACGCACAGTGCACTGGCAGAATCTAAGCATTAGGGTAAACAATACTGCAGTAGGGGGTAGAGCTTATTTGAACCTCACCTCTCTGATAAGGTGAAAGAACCATCCCTCAGTGCAGGCACCTTCATCAGCATGTTCACCTTCTGGAACTCCTCCGTCCTGTGCTGCCCTGAGGAGGGAAATGAGAGAGCTTACTTGACAGTGATGCTCAGGACCTATCTGCAAACACCTGAGGAGTCTGTGGGCACCATCTGGCCTCAAGTTCCTGGTTTTGATTGTACAAATACGATCTTGTTTAAGTTTAAAAGCAATCAGAAAGTGCCACAGGATGAATAGGAAGTGGGCCCTATGATGTCGGCTTATGTGCTTATTGCCTGTGCGTGAGAACCACCTCTTGACAAAGGTCAGAATGGTTAAAAGTCCTTTCATACCAACAGCACTTGTCAACTCTGGGCTCTATCAGCTCTGCATTTGTGCCTGGGGGTACCTGTGCCATGCAAACCCAGTGCAAACATCAAGTGCCTTTGAGGAAAGGGAACTTGATATCAGAAATATGAACCACAAGGACAGTGAGAAAGCAATTGTTTTTGTTGTTAATGGTTTTTTCCAATAAATGTAATTTACAAAAAAATTTATAAATGTAATTTATATTCAACTCTAGTTTTAGTCCTCAGATTGGAATAATTGTCTATGATTCCATAAAAAGGCATGGGTACTTCATTACAGATCTATCAATCAGCTCTCTGACTTTTGCATATCCTTTATCAGAGCACATATGGATTTGAGTTTGCTTTTAAGCTATCTTGCAGATGTCCCCCAAAAGGTAGGCAGAGTGAACCTGGCAGGAGGAGGTGCTTTGTTCATCTGTGGTCTCGATGTGCTCCATTACATTTGAACCCAGTCCCAGAAGCCTTGTTTTATGTGACTTGCTCATGCCAGCCTTTCCTAGCCACTGGCTTCAGTCACATGTGTGTACCTCTGTATTCAAGCTTCTCTAACATCTGACCCTGTGCCATGTCCTGCTGCATGAGTAACCTGAGGATCTGTGCCAGAGGAGATGCTCCTGAAGCCATTTTAGTTTTCCTAGTACTTGGCAAACCAGATTTGTGACTATTCCCCTGTCACTTGGCCCACAGCATGTCTCCACCACACCCTTTCACAAAGACACTGGGATTTCCTGCATGAGGTGTGCCTATTCCAGGTCCTCAGGTGCCCCTGCAGTGTCATGATGTCTATCTGTTCTTGTTCTTTCTACCCATTTCCTTGAGACCTACTGGGGGCCCCAAGAGCTTTTCGGGGGGGACACATTTAACCTACTGGCTCAAATCTTGTGTATGTTCCCTCACCTGGTCCTTACATATAGTGTAGTGAGGACACCCACACTGTACTCTTGAGCAAGCACTTATTTGGGGCTGGTGTGCCCACAGTTGTGTGCCCAGCAGGTGGTTATGGAGCTAGCCCAGCTGTAGGTGCCAGGAGTGCTTCCCTATAGCTGCAGGAATGGGATGTGCCTTTAGCATTCCTGTAAGCCAAATTACCCACCTCAAATCTGTTGACCAAAAGCAAGCACTGATGCCACAGGACACAGCCCCAGTCTCAGTATTTCAGTTGTTCTGTTCTCCTTGATGCTCTCATTGCTTGCCTGCCAGTCTCATCTCCTCTGCACCAGTGTCCCACCTCAAGTTCATGTATTGGGGAAGAAGGGGAAGGACACTAAATGAGCCTGCCCCCAGCAATAAACAATAGCAACGTGTTTTCTGATGTGGACGGGTGGGAGGAAAGCTGCAGTTAATGTGCAGTCAATGCACAGGGGATCAGGAGTGCAGGGGAACGCCCAGAGACTAAACCACAGTACTCCTGAGGTTTCTTTGAGTCACAAACTGAAGCGTCTTTTGTTCCTTTATCAATTTCAGCCCCAGGAGCCTCTCATCTTTTGTTGGTTTTAAGCAATACTTACTGAGGCATTTTTATGCCTGATACATTACCTTAATTTCAAGTCCAGGAGCTCTGGAAAGGTTGAGAGATAGGTTTTGCCAGCTTCAGTTACAAAGAAGATACAGATCTTTGGGCATCCTTTGGTGAAAATACATGATACTTCTTGGGCAGGCTCCTACCAATTATCAGTTGGTTTTCGTACAAACTAAACCACCTTCTCCTCTTCATTACTCAGCATTCCGGTCCCTGGCAGCTGCACAGCCTTGCTCTGCTGCCTTGCCTTTGCAAGCCTGTTCTCAACCCTCAGAAAACAAGATGATCACAAACAGCTTGACCCGATGAACATCCAGAGGGGTGTCAGGCTGTCCTGCCCTACTGCACATGGGCAGTCACCTCTGAGCTCTGAGCATGAGGACCCTTCCCAAGGGGCTGTCAACCCCTGCCAAGAGGAGAAAAGCTGCTCAGCAGCAACCGCTGCTGCTCATCAAAGTGCAGTTTTCTAATGCAGTTGAATTAGCAAGAACTGCACACCTCGGCTGTGCTCGCCCACACATGAACGTCCCATCTGTCTTGCTTTTGCTTTGTTTCCCATCTAAACGGGGAATGGCCTCGCATCCAGCACATCCAGACCCCTTCTCAGAAAAGCAGTCGGGTTTTTTGGAGAGCCGTTTTCTGATGGGCTGGGGATGATTTCAAAGGCATCGCAATACCACACACCTCTACAGAATCGTACTTGTTGCAGAGGCTCCCTCCCGTAGCACCGAGGGGCAGGACTGAGTCCCACCCGCGGCGCGGCTCTGTCCAAGGAGCCGGGT